AAAAAAAAAAAGAGTAGCGTAACAATAAGAAACACCACTCTTGGCCTCAGTTTGCCCATCTGAAAAATGTGTGTACTATCAGTAGCTACCTCTTCGGGTTACTGTGAGAGGAGAAAAGGTGTTAAACCATCCAAAGCACGTGGCTCATACTAAGTGCTCAATACATGTTCCTGGTGTCACAACTGTGTGTACTGGAGGCATGCCAGACCCGGCCTGTACCCCACCTTCAGCGCACGGGTTGTGCAGGAGGTTCCTGTGCAGGCTCCGTAGGAAGTAGAAGATCTTCCAGTCGGCCACGGGCTGGTCCCAGTCCTCGGTGATGAAGCCCTCTCGCAGGCACTTGCGCTTCCAGAGGGTCACCAGGTCGATGAGGTCCCGCCAGAGGCTGCAGACCAGGCGGCAGTTCAGCAGCAGCTGGCGGGCCGGCACGTGCGTGAACAGCTCCAGCAGGATGTTCTCGGGCAGCTCGTTGATGTTCCCCACAGCCATGGCTAGTGGCTTCTGGATACCCTCCTGTGGCAGTTGAAAAGCTATGCTGCAGGCCTCATCCCTGCTCTGTCATTTATCTCGGGAGACTCATAGTGCCTCTCCCAGCCTCAGTTTCCCTCTCTGTAAATGGGTACCTTACCTCCAGGGGTCACTGGGGCGGTCCAAGGAGCTTAGGGCATATCAGGTACTTTAATAAAAGGTGAGCTCTGATTTTTTTTCTCTGGCTTCTCACAACAAACGTGGAAGGCACTGCCCAAGGTCAAAAATAAGGGCAGAGGGGGAAGGAGCCGGGATCTTCTTTGATTCCAGGGCCAGCCTTTTTCAGTAACCCAGACAGTCTATGCGCAGCCCGGCAGAGCACCCCGGGCCTCCAGTGTCGTCACCATCCTTTCTCCCATCCTCGGAACATGATGGGAGGAGGAGGCTAATTATTACTGCCTCCCCCGGAGGTCCAAAGGGCTGCAGCCACCTTCTCAGGATCTCAGAGGACATGACCTCCTGCCTAGCTGGGAGTGGCAAGAGGGTGGGCGACAGGGAAGGGCCCTTCCTATCTCCCTACCCCCACCCCCAGCCCCGCGGCTGGGCTCCTTCACCCCAAGTCTGCCAGCGCGCCTGCAGCCTCCCCTTCCCACGCTGTGCTTTAAAATGTCCCCCAAAGTCTGGGCTCCGACCCCTGCACATCGATGGCGACCCCAGCCCCCGTTCGCGGCCGCG